TTCCAAATACACACAATTTGCCCCTTTCTTCCATAATATACTGCCTTTTGAAAGGGATAAACAGTGACTGGTCATACAGCTCCCTTTCACAGACTGATGATCTTCCCACAATTTCATGTCTTTCAATTTCAGGTCTTTTATGCCAGAAATGTTAAAAAGTCTATTTAAAAAAAAATCACTGCGGCTTGGAAGTAGCATGAAAATATCAAAACCAAACACTGTTTCACACTTTTTGGACCAATGGAAGCACGTTGATACACAGACATAGTAGAAACATGCAACTCCAAGAGTGCAATAGTTTTCTGATAAACATAAAAATTTATTTAAAAGCAGCTCAGTTACATTTCTTCCTTTGCTAGGGACACAGCTCTTAATTCACAGAAATAACAAAAAAAAAGGAAATTGAAGAGATACTGGAATCAAGCATATGTAAGTGTTGAAAGACAAACTTCAGACAAATTACTTTCCTAGAATAAGACCCCAACTGCAATGAAATAATACATATACATTTTATACAAAACCAGGATAACACCTTGAAATAATTAGCAAGGCTCACAGTCACACTAGCAACTACAACCTTACTGTTTTGTAAATGGGGCAGGCTCCTTGTAAGTTATTCCGCAGTAACCAGTTAGTCTTGTTATTTCTGTGACTTTGATATTTCGGTTTCCTCAATCTATTTCAGTTTCTACAACTTTAAATATTAATTTTCTTTTATTCATCTTACACATGTAATCTCATACAAGATGCAAAACAGTACCTGGGGGAAAAAATATTGTAGCAACTCAAGTATCTTCTTCTGATACTTTTATATGTCTATTACCAAGTATTTCTCACATTCTTATGGAATTCGTATCGTGAAAGGGTTTCAACAATAAAAAAAATAAATAAATCTTTTTCCAGCTACTGTCACAGCACCAATATCTAACTTAACACAAATTCAATGCATTACCGGGTAGATAACTTGACTTGAGTAGGTAGTAACTTGAGAATCACAAAGGTGATTCTCAGACACTGAAGCACAAGGGAGCTAACTTGCTTGGGTAGCCCTACTCCTCAATACATGCCCCTGAAAAGGATTTCAGCAAACACAGCAGTTTTGGTATGGAATTGGTAGGCTCAGTGCAGGAGATGCAAGAAGCTGAATCCATTGAGAAGAATAACAAAAGTTTGCTAAAATACAGCCTGGCTACAAAAAAGCCAGAAACACAGTCAGTGTTTTCTCCTTTAATCACAATACTATGCCAAGTTTGGAACATTATACATTTTCTTAACTAGCCATTAGTGGATCTGGTTTATTATTTTTGGAGTGAGGTTTTTTACTATAATGCTTGCTTGTGTTTTATCTAACTGTATAAATCACATAGTCTAAATTTTAATTCTTCACTACTTAGAGACCCAAATGCTCTTTTTCATCTAACTCTCAAGACATAATTAGTTTACCATTCTAAACAACTTCTTACAACAATCATACATTTTGAAAAGCAAGCAAGACTTCTGTCTCTGTGCTGAGAAAATGTATAGTTACACAACTCTACAAAATTATTTATAGCAGCACATCTGGCTTCATCCCCCACTCCATGGATGGTCAGGATGCTGTGAAACTAGATGAAAGTCCATCAAATACATGTGAATGTTCCTATGACTCTGTAGTATCTTGCTCCTGTTGAAACCTGAGCGCTGTACACTTAGCAAAGCCAGTGACTAACATCATTAATTGGGAAAACAGAACTTGCATCATCGTGAGCTGGGTCAGTAACTGCATCACTATTCACAGTGCTATGTAAGCCACTACATTTAGCTCCATGTAACACACCTATATACATTTCAGTTCAGCCACTGCTCTCCTGCATGTCATCAGACTAAAGTTTGAATAGCTCGTAACACTAAGACCAAAGGGCAATAAAGGGAGAAAAACTGCTTCTTGGAGGATACTACACTGTCCGAAGTTACTTCCCTGCTGGCAGGGGCTGAATATTCCAGCTAGCATTAAACTACCTGTCCGGAATATCTATGGAAGCCACAATGATCAGCATGCATCGTTGGCCAGTACACTGGAAAACTGAGGTTAAAAGATTGTGGATCTCACCAAGAAGTTACATCCTTGCATATAAGCGCGTTAGCAAAGATTCCCATCTTTGGGAATCTTGCAATCAAAGGTCTTGGGATTTATTTTCACCTGTCAGTTCATCATTCTACCCCAGAGCAGGAGCTTTCTGAATCTCACCCAGCACACCTGTTGTACTTCAATGGATATGAGAGCCTGTTGTTGAAACCTAAGCTTAAAAACAATGCCAGCAATACAGATTCTATACTTCAGTAGTCTGAAGTCACCTATAAGCATGACAACAATTAACAATAACGTTTCCTTTATTTAAGAGGGGAGGTCAGACAGGTGGGGCTGTGTACACATAAGACTTCTGACTTCTGACTCAGATTTTGTTTCCTTGTAATTTCAAAAGCTCCTGCAGAAGTTTCTTGATGGCACATTACTGTTATGTTTTGGCCAACATTAGAAGAGAGGGACAATTCTCCATTACGAAAACTTAAAAATATTTCAGCAATAGGAGACAAACTACAATTTCAAAAGAATTCTGAAGGTGATTGGTTAAATCTTCTCTGGCCATGGGCAGGCCTCAAGTGCTTTGCAAATGCATTTCACAGGTTTCAGGTCTCACAATATTTCAGAGATGATAAGACACCTTCTATAGTGCTTCTCTAAGTACCTTCTATAGAATCCCACAATGTAGGTGAGGAGCAAGCACTGCCTATATTCTAGCACCTGCTGATAATATAGATTTGTAACAGAAATAATATGGTTATTTGGAATAATGCCTTTGAAGACTAAAAGGCCTCACAACTTAGCAGAAAGCGATATTTTTCTAAAATCCAAAGTGTACCAATTCCAAACCTTTGTAATACCAGCATATTAGGAAAAAATGCTATAGAAACTATAAATTAATCTAAATAATACATATGTTTTTACAGATATTCAGTGAATCTTAGGCTCTAAAAGCACATACAGTATGTTACTTTGTACTTCTGCATTAACTTCACTTATATAAATAAAATTTTAAAAGTCACAGCTATTAACTTTTCCATTAATCTTAATTACCCACATTATTTACCTAGCTTTAGAAATGCCTGTTTAATGAAATATATGCAAACAGATACAACTGGAAGACAAAAACAAAGACTCAAGATATCAAAGCATTTAAATTACATTTTCCCAGCTGAAAAAACAAAGTTTACTCTCCACCTCTTCCACTGCCACGCTGAAGTGATAAACTCTTTTGTTCTTTCAGGGCAGCCATTTGATTCAATATTAAGCAGAATTCTGGATGTTAAGCATCTGAAAAGGCTACATTCAATCTGCCTTAATTTCTAGTTTTTAATCCTGAAGTAAGCTTGAAAAAGGAACCCAGTATGGAAAACATTACAGAGTATCAAAAGCCACAATACAAATAATACTCCTTTTCTAGTTGGTGGTTTTGTGATTGGTTGGTCCCCCCCCACCCCCCAGCCCCCTTTGCTTTTAGTCCTATCTTGCGAGTATTTTTAAATTAATGCACTTCTTTTTACAAACCTTTAATGATAAACAGAAGGAAAACACTCCATGAAATATGTCACTAATCTGTATGATACAAGACAGTACATTCAATTTACAACTACTTTTCGATATTACTGCTCTGCAAGTTGCAATACGTTTTTCTAATCTAAAATTACAGAAATATTAAATAACCTTTTTTATAATTTATTGTCTTCAACACATACCACTAACTCATGTCTCCTAATATCTACTTAGACTGTTTTAAAAGAGCTGTTTAAATTTGACACAATTAAATTTTTATTGCTGCTGTTCAACATATCCACAGGGATGCATTTAGGTTAATATCCAACAGATTTCTGAAGGAAAAAAAAAGTATCATACCATGTCTTTTATAATATCATAGAACTGGTATGTCTTAAACCCTCCCTCTAATCCTTGCTTTGTCCATGACTGATTAGATAAGTAGTCTTAAAGCTATCTCATACTAAAAAAAAAAACAAAAAACCAACGAAACAAACCCCACACTGAAAACACAACCAACAAAACCAAATCAGGTCTTTTGGTATCAGAACTTCCAGGATTAAACATTCTTTCCATTTGTTGGCTCATGGCCTGAAGATCCTGCACTTTCAAAGTGATCCCTTTCTAGCTAGTTCAAAGATCAGGAAAATGAAGCCATCTTCTTTGTGGCCATAATCCATGACCCATGCTGTTAGATACTTAAGAACATCTCAAAAGCAAACCACCTTGTTTCAGCTCCCTGTGGGAGCTCAGCAGGGCACTAGGTCACATGACTGCAAGCCCCACCTAGTCAGGTGACTCTACAGCTAATCTGACTTGGTGACTATAAAACTTCAATCAGTACAGTCTAATACCATCACATTCCAGAACTGATGAGAGCAGCAGCTTCGTGAGGTAACAGCAAGTGCTAACATGATTAGAAATTAGAACTGCCCTTCAGATGCAGTTTTCTAGCTCTCTATCCCACACATAAACCCAACAGCAATGTATCACTGAAAAATGATCAGGCAGGCATGCAGTTTTGAAACAAAATGCACTGAAATGTTTTATTCCAAAACAGACAGCATTTTGCTCATTGCCACAGAAGGACAAAAGCACACACTGAATGTAAGAAGGCACAATTAAAACCTAGGAAAATCACTGACTTGAACTCAAGGAAAATAAAACATGCACAATAAAATAACATTGTCTGCTCACACAACAGAGCTTCAGCTTGCATTAACTGAAAGTCCTAAAAATTTACATCTGCAACCCATGTTGCAAAGAGAGTTAATGAGAGCCCTGGCAGGTGTTTCCACTTACCAAGCACAAAATACCTAAAAAGCACACTTTAAAAAGCACTGCTATTTTGGGGACACTAGGATTTTTACCAAATCTGCTTGCTACAGTGAAATGACAAACATACTTGCAGATCAAATTCCGAGCATACCTTTTCCCAAATGTTTTGATTGCTGTCTCATTCACCCATTGTATTCCCTCCATTTTTTTCCTTAGGGAATTCTCACCCAAAAATCCTCTTAATCCATCTTAGAATCTGCATTTGGCATAGACAAGTAGTGAGAATTGGATCAGGTCTACATGATAATACACAAGCTGCAAGAAAGGAAAGTTGATGATTCTACAGTTTAAAACATCCCAATCTAGACAAAGGCTTAAACTTCTTCTCCCCCTTACAAGTTGAGTTTGACCACAGTTGCTACAGCTCAGCTGATAAGTAAGCTACTAAGACATTTCCTGATCACCTGCAATCATCTCCATTCTTTAGTTTCTCTACATTTCAATTCCACCCCTACAGCAGAAATCATACGACTTATCTACCTACTAATGTAATGTCTTATATATGATGATGGGGCTTTTATATGCTAATACCTAGAATTACAAATTCCTGCAGTCTTGCTTTCTATAAGACAGCCCCTAGTGGGATCTTCTACAATGGCTGGAAATTCATCTTTTGGGGAACATAAGCAAACCTTTAGTATCATTCAAAGAGAGTGAAAAGGTTATTATTCCTAAAGACTAAACAGAGCTGATTTTAAAATAAAGAAGTTTCTATAAAACTAATTTCTTCTCTATTTATCTGAAAGGAATTGCAGGTGAAATTACAGAATCACAGGATAAGGTTGAAAAGGACCTTCAGATCATCTAGTTCCAACTCCCTTGCCATGGGCAGGGACACCTCTCATGAAACCATGTCACCCAAGGCTCTGTCCAACCTGATGCTGAAAACCGCCAGGGATGGAGCATTCACAAGTCCCTTGGGCAACCTATTCCAGTGCCTCACCACCCTTAAAGAACTTCCTCCTTACGTCCAATCTAAACTTCCCCTGTTTAAGTTTTAACCTGTTACCCCTTGTCCTATTACTATGGTCCCTAATGAAGAGTCCCTCCCAGGCATCCTTATAGGCCCCCTTCAGATACTGGAAGGCTGCTATGAGATCCACACAGTCTTCTCTTCTCCAGGCTGAGCAGCCCCAACTTTCTGAGCCTGTCTTCATACAGGAGGTGCTCGGGTCCCCTGATCATCCTCATGGCCCTCCTCTGGGCTTGTTCCAACAGTTCCATGTCTTTTCTACGTTGAGGACACCAGAACTGCACACAATACTCCAAGTGAGCTCTCACAAGAGCAGAGTAGAGGGGCAGGATCACCTCCTTCAACCTGCTGGTCACGCTCCTTTTGATGCAGCCCAGGATACGGTTTTCTGGGCTCTAAGAGCACACTGCCAGCTCATGTTAAGTTTCTCATTGATCAACACCCCCAGGTCCTCCTCTACAGGGCTGCTCTGAATCTCTTCTCTGCCCAACCCATAGCTGTGCCTGGGATTGCTTTGACCCAGATGAAGGACCCTGCGCTTAGCATGCTTAAACTTCATAAGGTTGGCATCAGCCCACCTCACAAATCTGTCAAGGTCCCTCTGGATGGCATTCATTCCCTCCAGCATATCAACCAAACCACACAGCTTGGTGTCATCGCCAAACTTGATGTGGGCACACTCAATCCCACTGTCCATGTCACCGACAAAGATGTTGAACAAGACCAGTCCCAGCACCAATCCCTAAGGGAAAGCACTTGTTGCTGGTCTCCAGCTGGACATTGAGCCACTGATCACAACTCTTTGCATGTGGCCATCCAGCCAGTTCTTCATCCACTAAGTGGTCCACCTATCAAAGTGATGTCTCTCCAATTTAGCGACAAGGATGTCACGTGGGACAGTGTCAAATGATTTGCACAAGTCCAGGTAGATGACATCAACTGTTCTACTCCCGTCTATCAGTTCTGTAGCCACATCACAGAAGGCCACCAAATTGGCCATGCACGATTTCCCCTTAGTGAAGCCATGCCGGCTGTCACCGAGCACCTCATTGTTTTTCATGTGCCTTAGCATGCCTTCCAGAAGAATCTGCTCCAAGATTTTGCCAGGCACAGAGGTGAGACTGACTGGTCTGTAGTTCCCCGGGTCATCTGTTATCCCCTTCTTGAAAATGGGGTTGTATTTCCCTTTTTCCAGTCAGCGAGAACTTCACCTGACTGCCATGATTTTTCAAATACGATGGACAGTGGCTTAGCAACTTCAGTTGCCAGTGCCTTCAGGACCCGCAGACGGATTTTACCAGGTCCCACGGACTTGTGTACATTCAGGTTCTTAAGATGGTCTCGAACCAGATCCTCTCCTACAGTGGGCCCACGGTCTTCATTCTCACAGTCCCTGCATCTGCTTTCCAAGACTTGGCTGGTGTGGTTACAGCATTTGCCAGTTAAGACAGAGGCAAAGAAGTCATTAAGAACTCAGCCTTCTGCAAATCCAGGGTAGTCAGTTCTCCTGATAGCTTCCAGAGAGGGCCCATGTTGTCTTTAGTCTGTCTTTTATTCGCAATGTAAGTAATATCCCTTCCTGTTATCTTTCACATCCCTAGCCAAGTTTAAATCTAACTGGGCCTTGGCTTTCCTAACCTGGTCCCTTGCTTCCCAGGCCACCTGTCCTTGCTTCCACCTTTTAGAAGCCTCTTTTTTTCCTTTACATTTCCTGCACCTAATGCAACCTATACTAGTGTATCTCACTTAAAAAACACACAAGGAAATACTTTGTCTCATTGAAGTAACAAAAGGAAGCTTACTGTTTGGAATGGGGAGAAAAGTAATCACTGAGATAAATGCAGTGATTCTTTTTCTGGTAAGTGGTGACTTATTAAAAATATCCTTATTGGGCCTAAAAGTATTCTGTAAAAAAAGTAATATAATATACTGCAATTTTTTAATAGTGTTACACACATCTGAAATATTTGGATATCTGCACTCCAGTGCAGTAAGAAATGGAAGAGCTGATGTGATGTTTCAAAAGTGAAGAACTCTTCAGTTTCAGCTCCCTCACTCAATTAAACACCATAATTTCTTCACCATAGGATCCCACAGACAATAACAGATTCTTGAACTCTTAAATGGATTGTGAATTACACTTTTTATTTTGTTAAAGTCTTTTCTAATCCAGATATTCACAATTCATTACTAGGGCCAAAGAGAAGTGACATTCAATAGGTTTATTTATTTCTTGCCATGTTTTTAAGTGTGTCCTTTGATTTTTTTTCCTCTAAAGACAAATACTTCTAAATTTGAACAATAATCTTCATTTGAAATTAAATATTCCTAAGTATTTCACAGTTTTGCAGCAAACATAAAACATTAAAGCGACCTCTTGATACTCATGATAAAAATTTAAAATGTCCAGTGTTTAACATATAAGATGCTTGGCCAGCAGCAAACTCAATGCAGTTTCACCCGCTAGGAAGAGATAATACTTAAAGTTCACCCTCCTGACTTTGAATTTTATATGGAGGAAAACCTTTGAGGTTCAGGATTGTTACCATATTGTTGCTCTTTATTGCTGCTTATATTTAATATGAAGATCCCCTACTTCTCCTCCACCCCCAAGAAAAAGGTAGGATCAACAACCAAAGGTGCTCAAAACTAATGGCTTAGAGCAATAACAAAATCATTCATTAAAATTGGAGCTTAAGAGTGGAGAATTACATTACAGCCTCATTAGTACATCCTGCTATGTGCAAATGCCTTTAAGTAGCTTGGGACGCATCTGAAATGCCAACAGATTAAAAACAAACACACAAATACCTGTGACAGTGGCTATTCCATATGCTTATGGGGATTTCTCTTAAATTCAGAGTACTATAAAGTGTTGATTTACACAGCAAGCATACTAAAGTTCTTCATTAAGACAAAAAGCATTCTAATGTCTTTGTATATAGTAAGTACAGAAAATGAAATACCAAGTTCAAATATCTCACTCATTTTAGGGTGTTTTTTTCCTGCAGTGTACAAGGCCACAGGCCACTATCAATAAATGGCTAATAAAAAGTAAAGGACAGGCTAATCCTCAAAAAAAAAGACCAAAACAAAAAACCAAAAAAACAACCAAACAAAATAACTTTTAATGGGTTTAGTTACTGATTCAACAACTACATTTCTCGTTTAAAGTAACTTCTCCTATAGCTCTTGGCATGATCAAGAACCACTGCTTCCAAGAGAGAGGGTGTTAGATCATACATTTATTACAGACCTGCAGCTATGTACAAACGAGACTCCAAGCACACTTACATACATTACATAGTTAACTGAAAACCGTTAGAAAACGCTTTACAAACACTTTTTCCTTCCAAACTCGCACACAAGCTTTTTTCCCAAAGGGGGACGCTGACCGGGCGGCACAGAGACTGGCGAAGGCACTGAGGGATGCACAGGCTAGGTAGGCCTCTCCCCCTCAGGGCTCACTGACCTTTCAGCAACCCAAACCCCAGGAAGAAAGGAATGCTCCCCTCCGCAGCACGGCCGGGTCACCGCCGCTGCACTACTCCACACCTCCTCCGTTACAGGGCAGGGTACGCCGCCGCCCGACCCACCCCTCACGCCCGGTCGTTGTTCCAGGCCTCCGCCGAAACGCAGCCCACAGACCAAACACCCCCTCCACACTCACCTACCTATCCTCCACCGGAGGCCCCAACCTTCTCCGCCCCTTTAGCCCTGCGACGTGCAAACAACGCAGTCTCCCATTGGGCAGCGGGTTTCCTACGCGGCTCTCCCATTGGTGGATTGGAAAAGGCTTGATTCTTCCCGGTGGCCCCTTTCTCCTGCCAAGCGACGGGCAGCCGAGATGGCGGCAGCGGCTGGCGGGGCGTCGCGGTGTTGCGGGGCCACCAGTTTCCAGCGGAAGGCCGCGGCCGGCAGCCGCTTGGCCGCTGTGGCGGGCACCCGGCCCTCCGTTCGCCACGGGCAGCTGCTGCTCTCCAGCGGGCTCCCCTCCCTGGACTGTGTGCTAGGTTGGTGGGAAGTGGGACTTGGGACCTGGCTGCTGCCAACCCCTCCGTCAGCCCGGCGGCCCTGTCTGTCGTTTACCTTCCGCAGTCCCGCAGCTACTCCCGCAGGCTTTTCTTTCCTCCCCACGGTTCCTGAGATTGGGGGGAGAAGGGAGGGGGGGGAGGAAGGGGAAGAGGATGTGGCAAAGCAGAATCTGTTTCCCGCCTTGAGCCCCCCGCCCTGTGTGAGAAGGGGCAGGAGAGTGAGCCCGCTTCCCAGCCTGCTGCTGGGGCATAAGATTGCCATTTACCGCTCATATAAATCGGTTTAAGCAACCTTTCTAGAGAGAAAAGGTACTCTGTAACTTAGTAACACATTCCTGTCTATTTCAGACTAAGGGATCTGAAGCTGTCGGTTTTGAAAAACGTGCCTGTCTGTTTCAGACTAAGTAAGGGGCCTGAACTTTCCAGTTTTGGAAAACGCTTGCTGAATCAACTCCTAGTTGCATGTGGTGTAGTTCTTGGTGGTTCAGAATTTTTAGGCATTTTTAGGATGTGTTTGACTGTAAAGCTGGTTTCTCAGTATGTCTTTTCCATGTTGCTCACCACTGCTACATCATTATAAATGCCCTGTTTAGATAAATTACACTGGTGTGATGCTGTTCTTACTGTCTGTGAATCTGCTTTTGCCTGCTGTCAGTGTCAAGATGCTAGATAGTTCCTTGGACTGATCTGTTGTTGCAATCTGTGGCATGAAGTAGTACTCCTTACCTGGATTGAGAACTAATTAACTTCACCGGTATAAACAGGTTGTTTTATCTGTATATGCTAGGGCTGAGTGACCCTCTTACTACTGACACAGCTACAGTACTTTTTCAGTGTATATAGATGGGACTACTTTTAGATGAGGAAAGTCTGACTTTAGCTTTGGTCATTCGTCCTTGGAGGAGTACATGGATGTCCTGGTTTCAGGAGTGGTTCACTTTTCTTTCTAAGGATATCCTAAGGAGTAATGACAAATACAAAAGTTATATCCATTTTATAAATAAGTTTTTGCAGCCTTTATATCTTACAGAGAATTATACTAATTTATCTTTTGTGTGTATGTGTCTGGTAGGGAACACCTGCACTTTCAACAGGGATTGGCATCTTTGTAGAGAAAGCTCAGAGGGAGAGCTTTTAAGACAGAAATATTTCATTAAGTGAGTGTGATTTTTTTAAAAAACCTTTAATTGCATAAATGCAAGATCTGCATTGAATATTCCAGTTGTTGTTCATATTCCCTTTTATAAACAGTGGATTTTGCACAGCATAGGTCAGACGATGTACACAGCTTCCATAGTAACAGGCTCCTAAATGTCCAGGCACTTGCTAACATAATTTTTAGTTGTTTTGGTTCACATTTGTATGGGTTTGTATACAAATCCTTTACATATGGTCTGGTCTGGAAACTGGGGAGACGTGTTTCAGTAAACTTGGGATCCCTTCTAAAGTACCTCTTCCTCATGTTTTAAATATTCACTGATTTCCTGACCTTAACAAGTTTAACACTTTAACGTCAGGAAAGTTGTTCAATGCTGGCAATGTCATTGGGTTGTGGCATTTTTGAAAAACTGGAAAACCTGAGAAGCCAGAAAATTTGCTGAGTGGGTAAGGCCACAAAAGACTGTGCAAAAATGCTGAACTACAATAAAATTCCTGTTGATACCAGGTATTAGGCATTGTTACAGACAGACCGCCCAGCTGGGTGGACCTGTACAGAATCATTGATTTTGGAGGCTGGAGAGGGACCTCAGGCATTCAACTACAGCAACCTTAAAGCTAGCTCAACACTGAATTCAGAGTTGGTTGTTCAGGGCTTTGTAGAGCTGAGTCTTGAACACCTGCAGTGGCAGAGAGGCTTGATTATCTTTGTGGGGAATTTCCTGTTTCCTTATATCCACTTTGAAATTCTCCTGGTTTGTTACAGTATTGTTGATAGCTAGCTCTTCTTAATAAATGCATTTCCTTCCAAAAAGAAGTGGTAGATAAGTGCTGGATTTCAAATGCCATGTTCCCATCTCTAGACTTTATCTTCAAATTCACTTTCAAGATTTATAGGCCATATGCTCTGTAATGAGCTGTAACTATTGCGTAATATAACCATCACATGCTTGGTACCAAATGTTTTGTTTCAAGGTGCTTAAAAAAAGGTTACAGATACCGTTTGAAAACAATGGGTTCTCAACTTGCAAAGGCTGTTGTGTTTTTATCTCTGAGATCTTAAATCTCATTGCTGTAAGTAGCAGTGCAGAAAGTTACAAGTCTTACATAGTTGTTCATATGTACTATTCCCTTAGATACTAACAAAGAAAAATTACACTAGCAAGGTTAGAAAGAATTACAAGTTCACACGTTTTCTTAGAAAACATGAAGATTTTACATTTTGCTTTTGATTCTATCAGCATTCCTGCTTATTTTTTTAATGTTGTCTTGTTTTTGCTTAATTTACTATTATTATTGTTCATTGTAATATGAATGTGTAACCATGGTAACTGCAATAGTTTTACATTCCATCTAATAGAGTACATTTGTTCAGGCTGTTCACTGCACCTGATAATGTAAAGCCAATCCTCTGACCTGACTTTGCCTTTAGCAGTCAGGGTATGCATGTTCCAGCTCTGGCTTGTAGAAAGAGGCAGTACAACTGATGATCTGAAAATACAGCTTGTGAGAATTTTGACTGCAGTAATACACAGTTTGACAAATTCCCTCTTGTGCAAGCAATTTAAAAGCAGAAGAGACACAACTTCTGTGGTGGCTGCAAGTGAGCTTTTATAACCAAGGTTTTAAGACCTTATTGCCATGAGGTAGTATGTTACTTATGGCTGTTTTGATCATCTTTTCCGTGTCAAGCCATGATTGGTAAAATTTCGTAATTTTGAGCTATTTTTTTCTATGTGCTGTATAAAATATATGCTGATTTTAAGCACATTGTTAGTGAGCCATGCATTCTGTCTCCTTGAACAATTGAATGTGGTGAATATTGGAAGCATACTTTGTATCAAGCATCTGCATGATTTCTGATTTTGTTCTTTTTTTCTCCTCCTTGCCCCTGTGGTACGTCTTTGTACTTGGGGCCATTTGCGTTTATCTCCCAAGCAAATAAAATGAAACAGAAAGTAGTGGATTAGAGCATGGGGATTTAATGAGTGATTCTCACACAAGGATAACAGTGCTTCTAGTTGGTTTTGGGTTGTTTTTTTTCAAATATGTAGGAAATGCTTGATTACTTGATCAGCTTGCCATAAACGTTGAGGCTTTTGTACATCTTGACTCTGGAGCATAGCTTAAAAACCTTGTGATGTGTTGAACTACAGCTATGAAATTGGTAGCTGACTAAAATTTTGTACTGCTCAAATTGTGGTACATCATGACAAAAGGATTGTTATGGTTTTAATTCAGGTGTTATGCAATAATATTAGCACTTTTTGACCTAGGGGAGAAAAATTTGCTTTTTCTCTTCCTTCTGGGTGCATATCAACATTTGTAATACCACCGGCAGAGCTAAAGATCAAGAAGTTGATCCAATCCCCATTGGAATCAATTTCAGGTGAATTTAATCAGCTATTAAATTGGTAGACTGAATTATCCTGTTCACTACAGTCTACCTATGCAGTCCGGAATTGACTTCTTTTATCAAGAGCTTTGGATATTGTGCTGATGTGATTCCATTTGCTCCTAACTTGCTCTTAAAGCAGTATGTAATTGCAGAAGACACATTGCAGTTTCCTTCATGCAAAGCACTGCAATAGGCTAGTTGCATAGGGCCATCTGAACAGTTCAGGAATTTTTAGCTTTCATATTAGTCTTATGTGATTGTTCAACAAAATATTTGTAATCTGATTTCAAGTTATTCCACTATTTTCAGTCTTGGAATTTGGATTATAAATCTGTTTACTCTTAATCTAAAATAAAATATGAATTCTTCTTTCACTGTCTTTATAAAAATTCCTTCTTGAGACAACCATTTAAACCACTGTTATATATTTCTGCTTGCTGTCTCTTTGAGAAAGAAATAAAGCAATCAGGATGGGAGTTCATAGCTGATTTTTTATTTTTTTTTCCTGGTCCTTCCTGTTGAGATCAATGGAATAAGAATCTATGCATTAACACATACTGGGAGTATTCTGTCTATTAGTCAGTCAGTCATCTGTGCTGGGACATAAGCATCTATTCTAATTGTTTAAACAAAAAGAAAAATAGTAGTGGCCATGTATAAATCTGTCAAACTGTATTTTTATTTTTGAACAAATATTTCAATCAACTGCATTCGTAAAGTTGTTTTTATGTCCAAGACATATTGCAAGAGACTTTAGCAGTCTGTTTTTTTTCAGATGGGTGTTAAAATGTTCATGATCTGTCTGTCCAGGTTCCACTGGTTGAAATCCTACCTGCCTTACTGCCATGCCAGTAATAAGATAAAAAACAGTGGAGCCAAGATTTTAACTCATTGACGTGGCTGGTAATTTTCTAGCCCATTATTAGGTCTCTTTACATACACAGTCCTTGGTACAGAAGAATATCACTTGGTAGTGATAATATGGATTTAACTGGAGCCCCAACCAAAGCCTTAGCCAAATCCCACCAAATCTTTCCCTCCAGATGTGTTCACAGGAAAATTCTGCTGTGCGCTGCTCCTGTCCCAGTGGCAGTGGTGGTGCCGGGGTGGGAAGTGGGTCCTGAGCCCATAGGGTACATGACCACAGTTGGTCCCTGGTCAGAATGGCCCAGAGTGTGAAGGAGCCACTGGGGCAACCATTCTGAGCTGCTGCTCCTCAGAGAGAGCTCTTGCAGCCGGGGGGGCTCTCCCTGGGGTTGGGAGCTTCTTGAGGGGAGAGCCTTCGCTGTGGAGGTGAGTGATGGTGGACATTGGGTCGTTGGATATAGACTATAAGAGTCTATAACAGTGTAGTGGCGAATCCCGAACCTGTAGCTGATGTAGGAGGTGGCTGGTCTCTTCTTCAAGCAACAAGTGATAGGGCAAGAGGTAACAGCCTCAAGGTGTGCCGGGGCAGGGGGGGAGGGGTTGGACTGGATATTAGGAAAAATTTCTTCCCCCAGAGGGTGATCAGGCATTGGAACAGCATGCCCAGGGCAGTGGTGGAATCACTGTCCGTGAAGTGTTCAAAGCCGTGTAAACAAGGCCCTTAGTGGTTTAGTGGTGGACTTGGCAGTGCTGGAATGGTTGGACGTGATGATCTGAGGGGTCTTTTTCCAACTCAGTTGATTCTATGGTTACTCACTTGAGTCATCCAAGTAAAAATTTGCTGGCTCAGACCATACATCATTACTGTAGTACTTGAGCATAGTTGCATGGAGCTCTGCTGGATCTTTTAACCACAGTGATGATAGTAAGTATATTGTGAAAGTAATTGTAATGTCTAATATGTAATTACATGTAGCGTATAATTATTTCATAATAGAGAATTGTAGGAAGTATTGCAAAGGTAATTAAAATGTTGTTCACTTTTATATTTTTAAATTCCCAGTTATCACCTTTCTTTGACTTACAAACTAAGAAAACTTAATTGTTCTCTAACATGCTATTAAAATGTAGTCTTACTTTATCTTCATTTTATTTTGTTTCCAGGTGGAGGCATAGCTGTTGGAACCCTTCTTCTTATTGGTTAGTATAGAATATATAGATAAGCCATATTCTGATGTGTTTTGTGCTTTTTAATGTATTTTAGTTAACCTATCTTTTCATTGTTTTTTAAACTTGGACTTTTAGGAAAGTGTAACTTTCGGCCCACTTCACTTTGGATAGCCTTCAAAGTGGACTAGTGTCTATTTCAAGAATTACTTGAAGTGGATCAAACACTTTCAGGCAGTTTTGACTCCTCAAGGAGAATACTGCAGTATTCTTTTTGAAAGCAGGGCATTTAGCAAATTTCAGGAAAATTTTCAAATTATTTAATATTTTCTAAGGTCCCTGATTTCCTGTAAGCTTCAGACTGTGTATCATCTCAGAGTTGGTTGGTTGGTTTTTCAGTTTGGCTTTCTGAGGAAGCTGTGAAATACAGAATCTTTTAATCTTTTGGTTGCTGAAATCAAATAAGAGTAAGCTGTTGAAAGCCAGCTTTCTGTCAGGATGTGGATGAGGCACACTGAGATGCTTAAAGTTTACAACAGAATTCCCTTTACAGTTTACATTGAAACTGTCTGGTACCATGTCTGCATTGCAGCTGAGATGCCCAGATTTCCTTTCTATTTGAAGTGTAGCAAAGGAGAGAAGGACTGTTGTGCACATACATCTTGTCTTCATATCCCCACGTTATATACTGGACTGTACAAAAAATATTTCCCAGGCCCCTCAGTTTAAGCATTGCAGTGAAAACTACAATTGTGAAGGAAGACTAACTTCTTCCAAGTTAGTCTTGTAAGTGCTTACAATTTCAGCATATAACAATGACCATTATTGCAGAAGAGGAATTTTACGAGATACCACCTGATTTGTCACATCAGTTCATTAATCTTGGGCTTCTACTACAAAACTACTTCAAAAGGGTGCAAGGGCTGAATAATATAAATTTTAATATAAAATCATAAATTTGATTTTGGTTGGGGTTTATTTTCTGTTTTAAGTGTTTAACAGATTAATGGGTCTTATGAGAAACTTTCAAGCTTGTTACATTCCTAGCAAAAGAGGTACAGGGGAAAAAATGAAATGTTATATAGTAGAGAAACACCTGTAGTTGTGTGGCTTGTTACTTTAAAGTACTTTGATGGCTACTTTCATTTCTGCATTTTATCCATGGTTAGAGACAGGTGTTACTGTCTCGCTGAATCTTAGAAAATCTTGATTTTTACATAAGGTATATAAATCAGTGCAGATTAAGTCATTTGAATAGTTGGCTGCCAGAAAAAAATAACTGACATTAGCTAATTCCATGTGGGCCACTGTTTGTGTAAGGGCTACTGTTCAAGTTCACATTCTTTGAGAACTTTTTTTTGAAACATTTTTTGAGATACAGCAGTTCACTGTTGCTGAAAGAAGTTGTTCAAATTCTTCTCCCCATTCATGGCTGTGCAATTTTATTGTTCCTTAAGCTGACGCCAGTGCTTTTCAACTCTCAATTCTCCCAAGTTGACAGAAAACTCACCCAGTTAAAGAGTGGAAACTTTTCTGTTTAGTGACCTGAATCAGCTCACTAACATGAGATGAGTACCAGAGCCAGCACAAGGGAAAGAGGGGTTGCACAGTGAGGACTAGGAGAGAAAGTAGATGCCCTTTGTCAAGGCAGAAACTGCCAGTTAAGCTCAATTTTCCCATGAAATTTCATCCAAATTTCTGTGAATTTGGAAAAAATGATAGGTTTGTCTCTTACTGCTTTCAATGAAGATCTTTCTTTTCTAACTCAGTTTGAGAAGAGCTGCAATCTTGCTATAGACAAAGAAAGAAGAAATAAAATTAGAACCTATCATATTTTACACATCAGAGATTAGTTTTGGTTTTTCTTCCCATTACAGTATTCGCTGACCCTTTCAGTAGATGAACTGGATGACACCAAATGAACCTACTAGCTGAAAGATTGTAACTAAACAAAAGACAGTTGTTCTTCAGGTGGTATGCAAGTGGAATACTTCACCATAGGCTGTTGTGAATGTAAAAAAATGTAAATGTAAAAAAAAATCATGGTCTCAGTGGAAACTGGGCAGCATGATGGAAGAGAAAGAAATTCACATTACTAGGTTAGTGGATATCAAGTCCAGCTAAGGAAGTCCTTGAGTCCTCTGAATGGTGTGAGGCTGAGCAAGTACTTGGGTGAAGCATCACATTTGCTTGTTCAGTTCTTACTACCTCTTCCTAAATATCTGCTTTTGGCTACTGTTGAGCATCAGGTTAGATGTCTACTTGACCGGACCTTAGTGGCACCAGACAAAGTGCATGCAGTGACAGTGAGCTGTTTGTTCTAATGAAAAAGATGACAAGACTCAATGATTTGAAAATGGGAGGATATTTACCTCATTTCTCTCTTTTCCGCTCCTCTGACTGCATAGCTGGCCATACTCAGTGGTGGGGCTTAATTTACTTATCCCTTGTATTGGTTATCTGTGATCTGATATCAAACTTAGCTTCACAGAAACATGAAGGAGTTAGTTTCAGTTTTGAAAGCTATTTTGTCCCCAGATAAGACAATATATTTTGAAACATATATATATACATTATATACAAAAAGTCTTAAAGTAAGAACTATGTTTATTCATGAGACATTAAAATTTTTTAAACTAAGTTTTAAAGTTGGTGCAGATAGAATTGTTAATTACGTTGTTAGAATATCCTGTCAGTATATAAAAAAACTGTCGAGAGATTAGTCTAGGCAAGCTTAATATTATACAGGATTGAAGCTGTCAGTGATAAACCTCCTAGGAAGATCTTTTGCATTGTACTCCAACTGTTATAAAAAGGTTAAATTCTTCCCCCTTCCTTCAACATTCTCTAAGGCAAGAATAAATTGCATTACTTTTGGATTAGCTCCCTTTGCAAATTAAATGCTCATCTTCATTATTTGGCATGTTATCTTGGTTAATTTAACCAAATAATAGTAGATTCAGGGTATTAAAATATTTAACTGTTGTGTTGTGTTCTGAAGATGCAGTAAAGGCACAGGTCACTTGCTAAGACTGCAAACTATTGTTTGAAATGTAAGTACACAGTTTTTTAAAACTTATTTCATAATAACAAGTATCATGATTTTCAGTTGAACTTTATCATATATTCTTTTGACAGTGTTTTATTTATATGAGATTTAAAGAGTTGAACACATGGTAGTCTCATGCAAGTTTCTAGCTACTAGAGGAACTTGAAATTTCCTGGCTTTTGGCCATACAGCAAGAATGTTTTGGATTTTAACCAGTCCTTTAGTTGCAAAAATTAGTTGCAAAAAGTTTGGCTTATGAGAAGTGGTAAAACAAGTATTCTAACTCTGCGTGAAATTAAATTTAAAAACAAAACAGTTTGTTCGGTATGAATGTGAGGCAACTTGTTTGTTATTTTATCATAAACTGCTTCAAAGTAGCTTTCTAGAAGAATCTCCCGTTTCAAAACAAACAGTATAGATGTTGATTAAGTACACTCCTTTCCCCCTCCTCTCTCCAGTGTACTTCAACCTGTTGCATGTCTGTTTTGCCAGCCTTGGGAAGTGTTTCCAGGAGGATGTTGTTTTGTTTTTTACATATAAGCCTTGTTTATGTAATGCAATCTACTTAGTGAGTTACAGCACACTCAAATAGGTCTGTCCTACATACCTTATAAGAACCCATCCTTACATACCTTTAAGATGCTCTAGTTTTGACAAGGTCATTGATGGCTAAATGTTTTAATTATCAGTAGGAGGTTTTTTGTTGGTAGCTGAGGTCAATATTAAAGTTGTCTGGTTAAAAGCAGGTCTATACTTGTACATTCTAAGCCTTGAAGCAGTTTCAGCTACTTTAATTAGCTACTGTTATTTTTGTTAGACATGCAGATTAACCTGAACGGTAAGAGCTCTCTTCACTTGTCAATATAATCAAATTTATCTTTTTAAGGCTGAAAATTCAATCTCAGAAGAGGTACAAAACAGTGATTTGCTAAATGTAATTCTACAAAATACAAGTTACCAGAATTCACCTTCTTGAAGTATGGCCAAATGCCAAATATTGTAACTTACATGTTTGACAACTCCATTTTGGCATGTGCTAATTAAATGCAAGTGACACAAATATATCCCCTCAAGCTTAGTAAATGTGGACATTAGTAAAGTATCTTTTAAATGGAATTTCAGATTATTAAAATAATCACATCTTATAACCTGCAGCAATTCAGAGAGATGTTTCATAGCTTCAGAAAGACACACCTTAGGTCACAGTACCACACTGTAGAACTATCTGGTAAAAAAATGATCCATACTGATAGGCTATGACAGGCTTTTGGCAGCTTTAGGGCAACCTGTCTAGACTTTGTACAGGGAAAAAAAATCGGCTATCTGTACATTACATTGTTGCAGTCTTATTTTTTCCCCTTGTAGCTCTCATCATTTTAAGCAATTATGCTACAAATCGCCTCTGTAATCTTTCAAAGATCTTCATACTGTTCATTATACTGATGTTTAAAAGTTGGCTATTATAAATACTGTCTTTGCATATTTGTTGGATGGTGGGCTTTCTTTGTGACTTTTTGTTCCTTTTCAAGTTACAGTGCTTATTCTCCATCCCTCTCTTGGAGCATGAATACTTCTGTGCAGAAGGAGCAGTTATGGCTAAAAATTTTTCCTTAAGGCCATGTGTTTACATTTACATATGCATATGCAAAAATCTCACCTATAATTAGGTGAGATTTTTGTCCTTAATTTTTATATAAGTTATATATTTACTGTGCCTCACTCATATCTGCTCACTTTGTTTTCTGTGCCCTAGAGAAACTCCACTGCCTTAAAATTTTGTTTCTAATTCTGTGACCCACTGATTTGTCTGAGTAGTTGCTACAGACAGTCTGTGCACAAAAGTGTTGAGAATGTGTCTTGTGTTCAGTAGCCTGTACAGTGTAGAGGTGAAAAGAGCCATAGATAGGCACTGGTCTTTATCCATAGTTTTCAACATGGTTATATGTTGGAATTCATTGCACTGATACTGACAATACTGCTTTTTTCTTTGTGACTCTTTTATCCATGAAAGGATGCTGTTGTGGAAAGAGACCAGTGGATAATGATCACAATAAACTATTTTATTTATGTCCTTATCCATAGGATAAGAAGAGGTTTTGTCCTGGCAACAATATGCATAACTTCTAGGTAAATAATCTCTTTTCCTTGTATAGTTTTACGCTTCACTAGTTACTCACCTGCTACTTAGCTGTAGAACACTCTGTTCAAAAAGAATCAGAGAAGGCTGTGGGCTGGCGTGTGACTTGCGGTGACTGGACCCAGGAAAGAGTCTGCAGCTGCTAGAGTCTCATTTGTTTATGTGCCTGATTAGGTAGAAATAAAATTCACAATGAAGGCTGCTGACAGGACAGCTCTTCAGCATGGGGACTAAGAATAAAGATTGGGCCAGGCTTGTCTTAAGTATTTGACTGACTAAAATGCACTTAAGTGTTAGTTCCTACACATACAAAATGGATGTTCTTTTGGATGAGGGTATAATTATAAAAATAACAGTTTGAGACTTTATCCTAGCCCTTAAAATAGTAAGTCCAAGTGTTATCAGAAAACAAATACACTTCAAAGTCTTTCATTCAATTTATCCGTGAAAGTAATCAGTAAGCTACTGAAGTACCTGTGCTAAATGATTTGTTTGTTTATTTACAAGAAGAAAGTTGTACTCCTATGGTTTTGAATAGTAATGTAACTATTGAAGCCAGGCTACAATGGATGCTATCAGAAAAGCCCCATATGGGTGCACTTTAGATCTTTTGAATACCACAAAAGTTTAGTGACCTAGAAATGAATCAATAAAAGGCCATCCTCTATCTGACAAATTGAAGAACTGAGGGATTCTTACAGATGCATTGACTTTAACAATCCTAGATTCACTGTTTGTAAAGGCTTTCTGAGACACATTTAATCCTTAGAGTACTGTAGCAGACTGTAAGGTGTTTTATATTTAGATCAGTCTCCAATAGTTCATTTCCTATTTTTACTTTAATTTTACTGTTTAAAGTTTACTGAAAATCAATCTAAGAAGACCAGAGGAAATCCTAATGCTAAAATGACATGTCCGTATACAGAATGTGAATACTTTTATTTGGCTAAATTGAAAATTCCTTATTGTTTTGAAAATCATGCTTTGAAAGGGTATGGCAGTGTAAGAACCTCTGTAGTCCTGTTATATTACAAATAAGTATATTACTCAAGAAAATGAATTATAATGTTAGGTTAGTGAAAGGGTATATATCTATGTTCACTTCTACAGTTTGTTTTAACATTTCAGCGTTTCAAATAAAATTTGAGTAAAAATTCTTAATTACTATAGCCTTATTTCCTTTTAGTTCAGTTAAACAGTCAACACACAGTATGATTTCCTGTATTTATCCATGGTTTATGGAGTTTCCATGTTACATTTGACACAAAATTGAGTATGTTGTTCACTTTCTAATGAATAGTTAATATCAAAACAGTGATCCAGAAAGACTCTCTATAGTTGCACACTCAAACAATAAAATACTTGGACCAATTGAGATATTGGCTTATACTTTATTAAATGTAATTTAAGCACTGTCCGTATGCGATACAACTCAGTGTCTCTGTGCCTCAAATGGTGGATGTTTTTTTATTCACCAAGGATGGCAGCTTAGGATTCTTCCAGAGCACCTCACTAGTGTTCCTTTTCCAATTTTGTTCAAAGGAAGGGAGGTCTAACAAAATTTTCTCCCTCCACTGACAGGTGCTTCAGTGATATGATTACAAGGGAGGTTTGGTGGCTTCTTTCAGGTAGCTCAGACAATTTAAATAAATAATTAATTAATAAGTAGATAACATGCTGTTACTTTGATTTCTGGTGAGCATTTGTTCTTAAATTCAGAGCTTCATAGATGGAGGTTAGCGCATGGAAGTCAATATAACTGTGAACATTATATTACCAATTATATTGGAGTAAGCAACCAAAGCATAAGTAACTAGAGAGAGCAAATGCTTAGGGGTGTAGGAGCCATATGTATGTGTTCCTGGACTCCAGTTACAAGGGAGGATTACTCTGCTTATGTGTTTTGTTTTCCTCTTGTTGAAGCAGTTTTAGATCTTAGCAGGCTCCAAAGACTATACTTACAAAATAAGACTGTAATACTTCTTCAAAACTTCTGATAGTGCCAGTTTTACTTTTTCCTTCTGCAACAGTAGGCCTTCAGTTTTATCTGAATTGAGTCTTCTCTTCATCCTAGTCTCATACTTGGATCTACATCTTGGTTATGTCACAATGTGTGGAGTTCAATTACCAGGAAAACAGTTCTTCGGTAACACAGTTAATAGCTTTTTAAGCATGGAAGAGTAAACTGTATAAAATATTCAATTAAGAGCTCCAAGCTTTCAAGAAAATTGGAGTATGTAGTTCTGTGATGCTTTTGGAAATGAGTCTTGCTGAAATCTTAACAAGGATCCCATGCTGTTGACAGGAAGCTTTTGCCAGCACAGTACTTTCCGTGGTACTGATCTGTACCTGTTTTTCCCTAGAACATTATTTTTACAAGGTGTGTTATTGGAAGTACACAGAAGAAGGTTAGTATGGCCTGCTAGGCAGGTTAACAGTATCAAAGGTAAATTATATTAATACAATCTGAGTTCTTAAAACCCACAGACTCTACAATAAACTGGCTATATCAATGGCTAGCATTAGGAGAAAGAGTGTTGTAATTACTGTATTCCCTTTGGTTTATTTGGACATCCAGTTTTATGTAATTTCCTGTCTTAGGGACTGTGTTTTAAAGGATTTTTCTCTATCTTGAAATGTTGCTTTAGAGTGATTTCAAGTTCATTTCTTAGGTTTAATGAAAGAGAAACTTTTAAGTAAGTATTTCTCCTTACCAGCAAAGTAGGTAGTCTTGATGCAGCATCTTTAGGAATTATTTTGAAGAAGAAGAAAGATATGAACGAAACAAATCTTCCAAATTTTCAGTTTATACTGTATACTTTTTTACTGTAAAAATAAATAAAAAATAAATAAAAACTCCCAAATACTACATTTAAAAGTGAAATAAAAATTTTAAAAAGGCAGGAAATAAATACTAGTTCACCCAATATCCCATGGTGGATATCTCTGGAGAATTGTTCCTTTCCCAGAGAATTTGAAAATTTGTGGTTTGAATTTTTCTCTTGTTGATCTAAACACTGAAAGTACCATTACTTGTGCATGATATTAGGAGTGTAGCAGTACAACACTATTTTTCTGTAATTTGTTTCTGAAGTTTCCCCATTACTGTTAATGTTCTTTCTCCTGTTTGGATGTATATCGCCTTTCATTCTTTCCTCCCACTCCACTTTATTGATTCTTTTGACTCTTAAGCTCCAAAGCATACTATTCCGGTACATATCAAAGTTATATTCTTTTTTGTTTTCCTTCTTTAGTATTTTTACAAGTTTAGATATGAATAACAACTTTCTTATTTTCAGCCTTTATTATTGATTTTGTGGTTTTTAGTTTAATATTTTTTTATGTGATAGGGAGGAAATTATTTCCAAATCGCAGAAAGAAGGGATTAAGAGTCGTGTTGCTTCTGTATAAAGAAAATTCGAATTTTGTTTGCTATTTACTCATTCACTTTCACTTCCCCCATAGTTTTGAGTTATGATAATTTTAATTGTATGAGTCTGGTAATTTCTGACATTTAACATGCAACAAAGAAGACAAAGGAAATGCTGGCCTTTCTGAAGTCAGTGGGGTTTGTATTTTTATTTCAATAGTATTTTATCCACAATGTCTGTCAACAAGTACTGTCTCGCTTATTAAACTGTAAGTTTATGTGTGGTTTGAATGTTTTAATGGTTTTGCTTTGCTTACCTTTCAAATATGGTGTTGCAGATTGTCTGGTTTTTCAATGTATCCATTTGTTTTGCCTATTTTTATAGTTTTCAGTTTTGAAATGCAGGTGTAAGGATGTCTCTATAAGAAATTATACCTTTCTATAGCTTTAACAGGCCAAATACAATTAAATTTTGAAAAGCATTAATTAGTAACTGCTTTAAGCAAGTTGATTAATATTTTAAGCATTAAGAATGTAAATATTAACATGGTTCTCCTAAATTAACAAACTCCATTCCCATTAAGCCTGATCTTAGTTGATAGTTATGGGAAAACTTACTACGAAGACATTGCTGTAACCCACCCATGTCTTAGAATCCAATACTTGATTGGATATGTGAGATGATATTGAAAAATGAGGAATATACTATTATCAGTCATTATTTTTTAAAGTTTTGCAATCATATTTTACCTGTTATCTCAGTTGTACATTATATACTTTAGGAGGTAGACCAACAGAGGGCTTTAAAAGTGTTATGAAAATGGAGATGGGCGATTTATCTAACAAAAAAAAAAAAAAACAGAAAAATAACCAGAAATAAAATCCAACTGTTCTTGTTTTCACAGAGGAAGATAAATATGGTCTTTACTCCAATTTGTTGTTCAAGTATTTTCTCGCAGAGGGAGTTGTCTGTGGACATGACTTGTTTGTTGCTTCTGCTAAAGAGCATCCTGACAACGTCTTAAAGGTAAAAGAACACTCACAAATTTTTACAAGTAAAGTTGTAATCTCTTGATGACTTGAAATGCATTTTAAAGTTCATAAATGGTTTAGAAAGAAATTAATTAATCTTGGTGATTCATAAGAACCCGACAGACTGGATTAGTTGAATGGTTTGAGTAAACCCCACAGTGTACAGTTTCCACCTGCGTATCAGGAAGAGTAGTTAAGCCGCTTCCAGTATATTGTGGTAGAAACTGTACAATTTGTGTAGATATTTTTATAGTTTCCCATAGAAAATAAAAATATAATTTAACCTCTTTATGACTTCCTTTACACATACTTTTCATTCTGTCTTTTTTCTAATAGGAAAAATGGCCAGTTTTGGATAGGTTATACAGAAAGGTTCCTTTCAGACTTAAGCTTGCTTCTAAGCAAACACTGATAGTTTCTATTATCAGGAAACTGTATAAGGGGAAAAGCCTAATCAGCAATGAAAAAAATGCTGAAGTGTGAGGATAATCTTACCAAATGCCATTAAATATTTTGTGTCTCTCTAATGCTGCTTTTTTCTAATATCAAAAGTAACATATAATTTACTGATTTCTTCTGCGTCAAGTGAAGTTTGGCTGTTTCCTTAAGAGTGTTCAGAGACTATTTCTGGACAAAATTATTACTTTTTTCCTACCTTGTGATGGCATATTTTATGCCTAATCTATTCAATACTGTCTTCAGTATTCAGGAAAAAGTATGTTCTTAATGAAGTTGCATGATTGTGGTTACGAAAGATCTTAAGATGTTTTTAATGAACTTGAGCCTCAAGAGGGTTTATTTAGGGGTGAAATATTTATAATTTGTTCTTGTGGTTTAGAATATAGCATGAACAACTAGATTAAAATTTTAGTTTGAAGTAGAATAGAACATGCTATATTTTTAAATAATATTTATTTTTTAAAAACTGATGATTAAGGCATTGACCGTACAATATATGATTACTGCAGTTGTTCTTCTCATAAAATTTAAATCATTCAAATTAATGTTTTCATTGCATTGCACTAAAACTGCTTAAAATAGAGCAGCTAGCATACATTTTATTCTTTCACCTTTGAATCAGTCGTTCATAGCATGTTAGATTTTTCCTAGCTCTGGTTCTTATACTTTTGCAGGCCAACCAACAGACATTGTTACTGCATCTCTCCTTCTTGTACCAGTTTGAGCTTGTAGTCATTCTGACTTACTGAGCTCTGAAGTCTTAATTTGCAATAAGTTTTCCTTCTAACTTTTCAGGGGTAGATACTAGGTAATAATACTGCATTCCTCTGGTGTAACTTCATAGTGGTGTTACTATAAAGGATTATAAATGGAAGGACAATATTACTACAGGAAAGCTGAAGAAAACAATTTTGTTTTCTTCCTCTATTTGTGTGTTTATGTATATCCAACAGGATTCTTGTCTGTGCTTTTCTGCTGTTACTGTGACTATTCAACACTTCCTTTGCTTAACAGACAAGACACAGTAGAGTTGATTTTTCTGGTTTCTGTTGCTGTCTGAAATTGCTTCAGTGAAATAACCCTGTAATATGCTAGGCATCAATCTAAAAAATTACACTGGGAAAGCTTAGGCACTTCTTGAAATGCCAATATGTGTTACCTAAAATACATTATTGCCTCACTTAGAAAAAGGGTGTTGTTGGCCACAGTTAGGTCTCCAGATCACAAAAGTGGAGGAGTTTTCCCTACAACTGCTTCACTTGGCTTTTTTAAAAGAGAGAACCTTCAGGTATTTCAGGAAGTCCTTGACTGTCATAAAAATGAAGTTTTGGGGATTTGGATGTCTCCATCAGATCAGAATTTTAGTATAACATATCTGACCATTGACTAACATTGCATTTTATTTAATGAGACTGTATTTTTTACTGAAAAGGCAATGTAAATAATGGTACATGTCAACCTGAATTATACACTTTATGCTTGGGTTTTATTTTATAAAATTCAAGTATGGATTCAATATATTCCTGTCGTGGTTTAAACCCAGTCAGGTAATTCGTTCGCTCACTTCCCCCCCTTTTCTTGCCCTCCCCCTGCTCTCAGAAGGACGGAGAGGAAAATCGAAAAGAATGCAACTCCCACAGGTTGAGATAAGAACAGTTTAGTAACTAAGGTATAACACAAATCACTACTGCTACCACCAATGATAATAATGATAAAGGAAATAACAAGGGAAGAGAATACAACATCTCACCACCAGCCAACCGATAACTCGCCCCCCCAGCCCGACCAAGCTCTGACCGATACCTCCTCCAACCCTGCAGACTCCCAGCCCTTCCGGCTAACTCCCAGTTACATCCTGGGCATGACGTGCTGTGGTATGGAATACTTCTTTGGTCAGTTTGGGTCAGGTGTCCTGTCTCTGCTTCCTCCCAGCTTCCCCTCCTCCCTGGCAGAGCATGAGGCTCACAAAGTCCTTGGCCAAACCAAAACATCGCTTGTTATCAGCTCCGTTCCCGAGCTGAAAGTCAAAACATTGCACTGCACCAGCTACCAAGAAGGGGAAAAATGACTGCTACTGCTGAACCCAGGACATTATCCACCCCTTATTCCATACCATTCACGTCAGGCTCAGATCCCACATTTTCAATATACCATCACTCTTATCTCAGTGCATGGACCAGTCCCTATAAAGCTGCTGAGTCCATCTGGTCCATGATGTCAGGCTCCATCTCTTGTAACAGTCTTCCAGAGCAGGAGAGACTGTGTGCAGTGTTCACACTCGTGAATAACCTGGGCAATATTGTCCATTGCTAAGTCCACCCCTCGATCATGAGTCCATCTCTGTGTGCATCTCTGCTCTGATGGCCTGAAGTGCATTGGGCCCACCAGGCTCAAAATAATTCACTGTCCCCTTAAGCAGTTTCTGCAGCTTGTTGCTGGGGACTCCATACAGCTGCCTTCCATCTCCGATGCTTCCAAAGCACTGGAGGGGCCCAGTGGACTAGATACTTGCCCATACTGTCCCACATACCCTGCCACTCATCACTGTCCAGCCTTGGAGAAAACCTCTTGGTCCCCCTATATCCTCGTCTAACCCCAGACAAGACCCAGACCTGACTCTGCTTAACTTTTGAGATCAGACAAAATGGTTTTGGGTAGAACACAGTCTGTGTGTGTGCCAACATGCTGATCCCCATCACAATCAGCAGGCAGGTCCCAAGGATGCCCAAAGGCCATTCAAAACCTTCAGAACTCTCAAACGATGCTGCTGTACTTGTCACTGGGGCTGGTGCAGCTGCTGTGCTTGCCGGCTCTCCCACCGCCAGCTTCTCTTTTCCCGAGTCCAGCCCTTCCTCCTCTGCCTTGCTGGGAAATGCTGCGTGGTCTCCTGCATCCTCCTGGGGCTCGGCGGGCGGCTTCCGGGAAACGCTCTCGGCCGTCGCGGGGCTGGGCTCGGCCGCGGGGCTCGGCTCCTCCGCGGGGCTCGGCTCCTCCGCGAGGCTCGGCTCCTCCGCGGGGCTCGGCTCCTCCGCCGCCTTCTCCCGCTGCTCGGCAGCCGCCTCCTTCCTCTCCTCGACCGCCCCGGCCTCCTCCACCGGCAGCCGTCCCCTCGCGGCCTCCGGCCCCGCTCCCGCCGCCGCTTGGTCCCCGGGGCCGCTCTCCCGGGCCGCTTCGGCTGCCGCCGGCTCCCGAGGCCGCTCCCCCTCAGCTCCCCGCAGCCTCACGAAGATGGAGAGTAGGGTGAGGGCCAGGGCGGTGAGGAGCAGCCGGACGGCCAGGTACAAGTCCAAGGCCACGTCCGTCCCGCCCTGCTGCTGGAGCCCGCCCGTATTACAAGCCATTGCCATAAAGCACAGTGAGACAAGAACCTTAGCCCAGGCCCCATACTTGATAAACACTAACACAGCAAATACCGGCTCTACGTAAGTTACAACATTCTGAAGCTGTGAGATCAAGCGAAACAACTCTGAGAGCCAATAAATCAGCATTGTGACGAGTGACTATTAATTCGGTCAGATCTGTTGTTATCTCAACCCTTCGTGCCCCACGTTGGGCGCCAAAAAGAACTGTCGTGGTTTAAACCCAGTCAGGTAATTCGTTCGCTCACTTCCCCCCCTTTTCTTGCCCTCCCCCTGCTCTCAGAAGGACGGAGAGGAAAATCGAAAAGAATGCAACTCCCACAGGTTGAGATAAGAACAGTTTAGTAACTAAGGTATAACACAGATCACTACTGCTACCACCAATGATAATAATGATAAAGGAAATAACAAGGGAAGAGAATACAACATCTCACCACCAGCCAACCGATAACTCGCCCCCCCAGCCCGACCAAGCTCTGACCGATACCTCCTCCAACCCTGCAGACTCCCAGCCCTTCCGGCTAACTCCCAGTTACATCCTGGGCATGACGTGCTGTGGTATGGAATACTTCTTTGGTCAGTTTGGGTCAGGTGTCCTGTCTCTGCTTCCTCCCAGCTTCCCCTCCTCCCTGGCAGAGCATGAGGCTCACAAAGTCCTTGGCCAAACCAAAACATCGCTTGTTATCAGCTCCGTTCCCGAGCTGAAAGTCAAAACATTGCACTGCACCAGCTACCAAGAAGGGGAAAAATGACTGCTACTGCTGAACCCAGGACAATTCCATAACTAGTATTCTAATTAATAGGTGTTTTATGTAAAGGCAGTTCATTAACTGCCTTATGTCCATATTGTGTGGTCAGTCTATCTATACATTCAGTTCTTTGCTAAGATGACATAATTGCCCTATTCTAATTCTGTGGTGTGATTGGAAGTTTCTTGAACCTATAAACAAGACAAATATTGCTGGTAGTAAGAAGGGAAAAAGACATTCTTAGAGACCATAATTATCTTGAAATTGTGTATAACTAGAAGACAAGCAGAGGATAAAATGCCCTGATCAGCTGCCTAAGATGTATTATATTACCACCCACCAATTTATCCATCATCCTTTGAAAACATATTCATACCTTTTGTAGTCAAAGCTTCTTCGGGAAACTGGCATTAAGACATAATGCTGAA